TATGTAATATAGCCCAGGTTCGAATCCCAGTAAGTGTATGGTTAGCTGATGAGAGCTAAATAGCTTGAAATAGATCTATACAAGTCTCCCTTTATTTATTTATCAGCACAAATACAACATATATATATATAGTGTGTGTGTGTTTTGTTTGTGCTGATAAATAAATAAAGGGAGACTAATATAGATCTAATATGTAATATAGCCCAGGTTCGAATCCCAGTAAGTGTATGGTTAGCTGATGAGAGCTATATAGCTTGAAATAAATCTATACTAGTCTCCCTTTATTTATTTATCAGCACAAATACAACATATATATATATAGTGTGTGTGTGTGTGTTTTATTTGTGCTGATAAATAAATAAAGGGAGACTAGTATAGATCTATTTCAAGCTATTTAGCTCTCATCAGCTAACCATACCCTTACTGGGATTCGAACCTGGGCTATATTACATATTAGATCTATATTAGTCTCCCTTTATTTATTTATCAGCACAAACAAAACACACACACACACACTATATATATATATGTTGTATTTGTGCTGATAAATAAAATTTATTTCAGAAAATTTATTAATGAAGTTTTTTTCTTGCTGCCTCCAAACTATTGTATATAAACTTCAACTGTGGTTATTCTACTTTAAAATTCTTGAACATCCCTCCTCCTCCTCCTCTACCTGCTCCTCCAATTCAAATGGAACTGCCAAAATACCTCCGAGTTTTCTTTAATTTTAAAGGCAAAAAATATGTCACTTAGTTTATTGGCCTGTAGAGTTGATTTCATACCTTGCTAAGACAAATATCCACAGCTGGTTCTTTTAGCCGTACGGTGGCTTTTCCTTCATCCACGAACTTGGTAAAAAGCTGATCTATGTTTTCTTTCAACTGTTTTTAAAGAAACAAATTGTAGAAGCATAAACAAGTAATCTATGCTGAATTTTAGGACTGTGTCTTCATAGGACCAGATGTTGAGACCAAGAAAAGAGAACAGTTTCACAATCATCTTCATTATTCAAATGATTTTTTAACTATATAGCCAAATAAATCACCAACAATATTGGTGGAAGTCTGATACAGTGCAGAATCCCCATCTTAAATATTTTGAAATGTGCAAAATCTTATAATATCAAATATTAAAGATGTTCGTAACCTTACATCTCATTGTATCTAATCTAGAGTTTTCAAACTGTGTTTTGCAGAACCCTAGATTTCAGAGAAAAAGCTTGGTGGTTTTAAGGCAAAAAATATATTTAAAAAGTTCACCTAAACACCCTCAGAAGCCTATAACATTTTTTCTATGGAGAAGTAATCACATCCAACTCATTGATTTTCTTGTTTAAAACATTAACATCCAGGGTGGATAAAAATTGATGATTTTTTAAAAAAATCAGATTTTTAAATTTTAAATTTTTTTAAAATCAAATTTACATTCATAAAGTGCTTTTGGAGTAAAAATGTATCTAAATATAGTTTTCTATGTAAGATACATTAATAGTTTAGTTTATTTAGTATGAAACTGAGCTTAGTTATGTAGCATGAGGCTATATTCTGCAATATTGGGACTGTTAGTGAGTCAACAGCAGGTCAGAAGAGGGGGACAGAGATGACAGTTGCTCTTTAAAAATGATTTAAATCAAGCCTTTTTACTAGTGATTTAAATCAAGTTGATTTAAATCAAATCCACCCTGTTAACATCCCAAGTGATTGTAAAATTTGTTTTAATACATATTGTAAAATTTAAAGAACTTTAAATAAATTACAAGTATATTTTGTTGCTAATTTTCTATCACTAGACTAGAGCCTTGGTTAGTCTTTCTCAGGTTTTTTTTAATCCAACAAGTTTCACAACCTGAAAAATGCAAGCTTTTTAATCCCAATATTATTACACTTTTTTAAAATATTTTTTTTTATTTTCAAACAAACACAAACACAAAACATATAACATAAAAACTTCTTCAACTACATACAGTGTGTCGATTGGTTACAAGGTCTTTCTGCATTCTTTCCATAGTCATCACTTAAGTTTTATCAACAATCACATATTGTCAATCAAATATTTTTGTATACATTATTATTATACTTCATTTGTTTATCACTATTGTTTCTCCATTTTAAACATGGTATTCTAAATATGTATTCATTTATATTATGATTCATTATATAATCTTCAATATATCCAATAATATTTTTTTTATATCCTATTCTAAATCATTCTATTATTTTAGCATTGATAACATTTTCAAATAATTTTCAATTCCTTGTTTTTACCATTATTAGTATCATCAATCTAATATACATCTATACAAATTGTTATAATTGTTAAGCATCCATTAAGCATAGCTATTATTACATCCTTTTTATATGAGGCATACTAAATTTGAAGTAAATTTATATTATGACATTTATATCATCCTGAAATCATCCAATGATATTACATCTTTATATTCTATTCTATGTAGAATTATTTATCTTTCATAAAAAGGCTTTTCAACATAATCTCCATCATCCTCACTTAGTTTGTATAAAATGTAATATCAATCTAGTATATATGTTTTTGTCTTATACATACCATGTTTCCCTGATAATACGACCTGTCCTGAAACTAACACATTTTTCATGCGGGCAAAAATATAAGCCCACCCCCGAAAATAGGCCCCCTGGACAACCGCCCCTTCCGGCCAGGCAGAGTACCGCTCACTGACCTAGCGGTATCCCGCAGGCGGCAAGCCACGGGAGCCAGGGGCGGGGAAGGCACTCACGTTGCTTGCTGCTTTCGGGGTACTGCTAGGTTGGGGAGTGGTCTTCTGCCTGGCTGTAGGGGGGAGTTATCCAGGGGGCTCCCTGCAGGGCCAGGGCACCACTGCAGCTGAGCATAGTTCTCCGGCTTTCAAACTCCAAAACTCGGCTGCTGAGTCTTCCAGCAGCGGCTGCTCTAGGAGTGCGCTCTATGGTTGTAGGCTGGCTGCTGGAAGACTCTCTATCCGGAAGACTCTCTGTCCGGCAGCCAGCCCACAACCATAGAGCGCACGCCTAGACTGGCCGCTGCTGGAAGACTCGGCAGCTGAGTTTTGGAGTTTGGAAGCCGGAAAAGAAGTTATGCTCAGAGCGTGGCGGCGGCGCCCTGGCGCTGCAGGGAGAGCTGGGCCAGGGCATGGTGAGGCTGGGAGGCATGCTTGCTGGGGGCGGAACAGACGCTCGCACAACCCCATTCTCCAGCCAGGCAGACATCCATGCACTGACCTAGGGGGTATCCCGAATGTGCCATGCCATGGGAGCTGGGGAGTGGGCAGAGCACCACGTCCCTTGGCGCCTTAGGGATACCCCCTAGGTTGGTGAATGGTGCTCTGCCCAGCTGGAGAGGGGGTTTGCCAGGCGGCTGCTCGTGGACGTGGTCACCTCATGGTTGCTTCGCCCCTGAGGCTGTGCCCAGCTCTTCGGGAGCCAGTTTGCAAGGGAGCAGCTGCCCAGCAACCCCAAAACAATAAGCCCTCCCCCTATAATAAGCCCAAGGCCATATTTTGTGGGGCAAAAGAAAAATAAGACCCTGACTTATTTTTGGCGAAACACAGTAACCACCATTCGTTCAGCACCATCTTAACTTTGAATGGTCATAAGTCAAGGACTACCTGT